TCTATCTATCTATCTATCTATCTATCTATCTATCTATCTATCGTTCTATCTATCAATCAATTAATCTATCTATCTATCATTCTATCTACTGTTATACCGGTCTTTTTTTGGATGTAAAAAACTGTAAACATGATGGTGTAGATGTTTTTTTTTCTTGAAAGAAATCAGTGCAGTGTGGTTTATGGATATGTTGTTGAATGCTGTTGGTGGTTCTGGTTTGTTCAGGGCAGAAGTGATTAGGCAGAGGTTTGTATTGTGTGTGGAGCAGGTCGGTTGTGGAGGGCCGGGGTGGCCTCATAGCCAGATAAAGCCTGGAAAATCCCTCTGTTAGAGGAGCTGATGGTGAATTAGGATCGCTGATCTCATCTGTTTTCCTCCCTCACTTACACACACACTCACACTCATACACATGTATGCTGAACAAAACAAAATGCTGGCTGGCACTGTGTGGATGTTCTTCATTGTTTAAGTGCATGTGTGTGTTATTAATAGCTGCTATGTATGATTTCTGCATGTATATTCTAGCATGAATGTGCAACACAGCTATGTCCATATGTAAACTTGAATATGTGTGTGCAAATTTAGATGCATAAAAGGGGTGATATGGGAATATTGGCACTGAACATTGTGCATTAGCATGTTCAACATGCTTTCTGTAAGAACACAGAAACAAAACTATTGAATATTAAAGTTTATTAAATTCTGCCACAATTACAAAGTGAAATGTAGATGTGAAGCAGCTGTGCTTTTTATTCCTATTTTATATAATTTACAGAAGATTATAGTTTGATATGATTTAAGTAAGAGTTTAAGAATCCCATTATTCATAAATATGAAAGTCAAACTAAATTAAAGTAAATCTTGTACATCTGCCAAAAAGAAAAAAAACCAGTTATATTTCTTGTTATAAATAATTTAACAAAAGATATAATGACACTATCAACAAACACACTGACATATACACTTTAAATGTTGTTAAACACTTTCAGCTATAGCCATAAAATCACATTTAAGCTGAAATCCGGCAGCTATTTGGTTAACAGTGGATTTAGGAAAAAGAACATAATACTATTGAACCATAATAGCAAGCTCAAGCCACATAGGCTTATGTTTGGCACTTTAATATCTATGCATGTGCAAGCTGAGGGGTTTTACACACGGTGTTAATTACATAGACAGCTTAAATATTATAGTACTGCTTTCGATCCACAACAGAACATTCTAGTACGAAAATATTTGTATAGAATATTTACAGACTTTTATGGATTAGATATTAATGTGCTAGTTAACTCTAAAGCCTAATGTATCATATTTGATATGCACGTTTCCAAGGTTTCTGAATTATCAACATGTTCAAAACCATAATGAAAAACTTTTTTTTCTCTCTACAGATTCAACAATCTGTTCACCTTCAAAAATAATAATAATAATACTAATAATTCCTAAATCTCTTGTTGCATCTCTCAATTCATGTTAGCATGGTTATGAAGAAGCTACACACTATCTGTTGTGTTCATGTTTCATAAATAAGAGCCATTGATTGGTTGTTTGTGACTAAATGTAAAAACCTGCATTCTGAAAGAAGTGAGCGTGAGCTTAGCTGTGCTCCAGTTTGTTGCTTTGTTTGTTTCTCATGGCGCTCTGTGTGACAGTGGACAGGGACGATCGAGACACGCTGGCCGTCTCCACAATCTCAATGTCCTTACAGGTCAAACAAGCCACCAGCTTCTGTCTGCACGCACTGGGGGCAAAGATGAACTCATGAGACACTCCAGCCAGCACTGCACCTAAGATTGGACCGATCCAGTAGACCTGAAAACAACAGAAAGCATATATACATAGCATTTTAAAAACTGCTAAAAACATAAAATAACTCTGCATATCTATATTTATCTCAATATTTGTATTCAACCCATGCAATTAACTCTTTTCAAATTTCTAGGCCTTTGATTGCAGTAGTAAACCTTCAAAATATATACTGTATGTATGTGTATTTATATATGTGTATTTATAGATTAGTCAACAGAGCTGCTTAAAATAGTTTTGCTTTGCTTACCCAGTGATGTTCCCAATATCCAAGTATTATAGCAGGACCAAGAGAGCGAGCTGGGTTCAGACTGGCACCAGAAAACCTCCCCTAAATCCACACACACATACGTTAAAATAAATAAATAAATATATGTATGTATGTGTATTTACAATAATACATGCAGAGGGAGGACAGAACAAAGGGATCATTATTCATAAAAAATATTATAAATAATGATAAAAAAAATAGCTGTCCTGTATCGACTAGCAATGCCAAAGTCATAGGGGAGGCACATACACTACTGTCCAAAGGTTTGGGGTCTGTAAGATTTTTAATGCTTTTGAAAGAAGTCTCTTCTGCTTACTAAGGCTGCATTTATTTGATCAACAATACAATACTATTGTAAAATATTACAAAAATGTAAAAGATGTCATTTATTTCTGTGATGCAAAGCTGCATTTTCAGCATCATTACTCCAGTCTTCAGTGTCACATGATCCTTCAGAAATCATTCTGAGATGCTGATTTGATGCTCAAGAAACATTTCTGATTATTATCAACAATGATAACAGTTGTGCTGCTTCATATTTTTGTGTAAACCTTGATGCATTGTTTTATTAAGGATTCTTTGATGAATCTAAAGTTCAAAAGTTAATTTATTTGAAATAGACATATTTTGGACAATATATCTTTACCGTCATTGTTGATCAATTTAATGTATCCTTGCCGAATAAAAGTATTTCTGTATTAAAATAAACTTTGGGTACTTTTTGCATATAGGCTGCCATATAAGTGTGATGAGGAATATTATGCAAAAATAACACTAATAGTAAAATGACGATATAGCAGTGTACACCAAATGTGGACAAATCAAAACATAGAAGCAGGCTTACATTAGTCCCAAATTGAGACTCCAGGTCATACTGACACACATCCAGAGCACACACACACTTGCACACACTTACAGCAATAAAGATGGCAGTGGTCACAGCAAACCCAATGGCTAAATTCCCTGGTTCGTTTATTTCTCTCCTGCGTTGATCTTCCACAGAAAATACAGTGAAACCCAGGAGAAACGTGGCAAGCATCTCCATCCCAAGAGCTTGACCTGCGTTCATTTCCACAGGGACCTTCAGAGAAGGAAATGAGAAGGAATTTTTATTTGT